AGTCCCCCATGAGGACCAGGGCTTGTGAGCGTGAGGCTGCTCCTATCTGTCTATAGAGGGCCTCATCCGCTCGGTCTTCCTGGTCAGGTGGCCTGTAGCAGACCCCTACTGTAATGTCACCTGTCCCTACCTTCCCTTTAATTCTGACCCATAAATTCTTGGTCGGCTTCTCATCCATCCCCAGGCAGAGCTCCATGCACTCCAGCTGGTCCTTGACATAGAGGGCGACACCCCCTCCTCATCTCCCCTGCCTGTCCTTCCTAAAGAGCCTGTATATATCCCTCCATCCCAACACTCCAATCATAGGAGCCATCCCACCACGTCTCCGTGATGCCAATACAGTTGTAGCCCTGCAGGCACGTGCACGTCTCTAACTCCTCTTGTTTATTCCCCATGCTACGTGTGTTTGCATAGAGGCATTTAAGTTGGGCATTCCCTTTGGTCAGTTGGGGTCAGCTGTCCCGGCCGTGTCCCCTCCCAACTTCTGGCGCACCCCCAGCCTACTCGCCAGTGGGGTGGTGTGAGGAGCAGAAAAGGCCTTGACTCTGTGTAAGCACTGCTCAGCAGTAACTAAAACATCCCTGTGTTATCAACATTGTTTTCAGCACAAATCCAAAACATAGCCCCATGCTAGCGCCTATGAAGAAAATTAACTCTATCCCAGCCAAAACCAGCACCCTATTATTATATTGGAACAGAAAATGCTGCAAATGTTTCCACGTTGCTTTTTTTAAAGGAGTATCTGGAATAATTTTGAATAACTTTTCTTTGCAAAAGATTGGCTTTCTCTATTACTGTTCATAACCCAATTTTATGCAGATAGGAGTAAATTGGGCCAGTTTCAAATATATTTAAATAACAATGATGAAAGTGAAAGCAGGGCTTTCCACCTTCCTCAAGAGGACTGCCAGGTGCTGAATGGGTTGTTTCAGGAATCGGTGACAGATCTCCTTGGTTTCTTCTTTTCTCCCCAGCTATAAGGAAAATGCTCTAAGGTTATCCAAGATACACCATGACCAGCCAGTTAAGCCTCTGGACAGGGCCGTCTTCTGGATTGAATTTGTCATGCGTCACAAAGGAGCAAAGCACTTGAGACCAGCTGCTCACCGTCTCACCTGGTACCAGTACCACTGCCTGGATGTTCTGGCATTCCTGTTCACCTGTGCAGCCATTGCTGTCTTCATTCTTGTCAAGTGCTGCTTATTTTGTTGTAGGAGATGTGGCAGGATTGCAAAGAGGAAGAAAGAATAGACATCCTGTTCCCATCAGCACTTTTTCTTCTCCTATGCTGATTCAGCAAGGCATTTATGCACATTCCTCGGTGAATAAAATTATTAGGATATGCTTTAAGCTGGGCATATAATGAAGCACCCCGTTGAACTGGGTCGTGCTAAAAAGCTGTTGTGGGGCAGAGCTGCTTGCTTAGCCAGCCAATTCCTTCCGGCCTAAATAAGATTGAATTACAGTTGCTTTATCCCCTGGGACCCTGTTAGCTGATCACACGTGGTCCCTAGAATGCTAATTGCTGCTCTAACTTTTCAAATTCATTTTGGTATATTTCATAAATTCAGCCTTCCCATGTGTGATACTGTGGATTCCTTAATCTGCAACTAGTCTCCTTACCTTAACTCTGTCCTCTCTTATGTCACCCAGGCTTGACGATTTACAACCAAAATGCCTCTCCTGTCAGAATAGCTCTCTCCAGCTTGGACAGTGAAGCTAAGATCCCGGGCTCCTAAAAAGCACCCATCTGAATGGCCAAGATCATGAAAATCTGGGAGCTGCAAGTGGCTGGTGAAGCCTGTATCATCACATTTGCACAAATGCGCTGACTACTTGGGGGCTGAGGGGAGACCAGAGTCCTAAAACCAGCAGAGAAATTGCTTTTCTGAGAACCATTTCTCTTTTCCGTTCAGTATATGCCTGGAGTCCTGCACAGGCCACCATTCTAACTGCAACACTCCAGGGGTGTTAAAACCACCTCTGTCAGTAACTTGTCCATCTTAACCCCCAAATGTCTCTGAGCCATGCTAACTGATAAATGCAGGAAAACCTCTAGAGATAGAACTTGCAAAGAAGTAACATTACATGTGGGAACAGTGCAATAGTCACTTGCTTTGCCTGAAAAGTTTTGGGGAAAATAATACTGCTCTTGGCTCAGATAAGAGTGGTAGTAAATGCAGCACTCCTGAAATTGTTCCAGGTGCACTTACTGACGAAAGCCTACTAAAATGATGCTAGTTCAGGCCTCCTGTTCTAGGTAAGGTTATTCCACTGCTGTGCCAGCTTACTCAAGAAAGAACCTGCCACAATTTTAACTGATAGTTGCTGTATTCTGGATGCTGCAGAATTGTCTTCAAACAGAACAGGCTGAGAAAACATTTTAATTCATTTACATAACAAAATTCCCTACGCTACATTAACTTTTTTATTAGCATTGTCAATATTTCAATATCTGCTTAAATCTCTTCATACGACAACATTTACAAAAGCTCAAGTGAATTGTTTCCAAACTAAAGAGGGGTTAGAACAAGACTAGTGCTTCTCATGGTAACTTCTGGTACACTGTTCCTATGGTCATGGTGGGATCACATGCAGGAATATGCATACTGAAATATGCAGTGAACAGAAAGTCGAACAGCATGACATTCAGGCCCCAGATCTGAAAAGTTTTGCTGTAACTGTTCATAGAGCTGGGTCCCTAGGCACAGCTCCACCAAGCTTGATCACTAACAGCCCCCATCATCCAGCTTCTGCAAGTAGAAGATTTGCTGAGATGTCAGTTTGGTTGCAGAAGGCCAGCAAGCCTCCTAGCACACTGCATAGATGCTGGTCAGATACAGCTAACAAAGGACACGGGAAACAGGGTAGCTGGGAAAAGTTGGACAGAGAAAGTGCTCTGCAGTCACTTTAAGGAGGTGCTTCTTTTCTGTAACTTACTCAGAGAAATTTGGCTTATCTAGTATTGAATTTAAAAAGTAAAAAAGAAAACCAACCAAAACCAAGAATCTAGAATCTGTACACAAAGCAGAGAAAGATATCAAAGAACGAAGGTGGTCTATGATGCATTTCTCCAATTAGACACAGTATGAGTACTGAGTTTGATAGACTGATCTAATCCTACTGCTAATAGGCATATCTCTGAGTGCACAGTAAACTGTTTTGAGGAAGCCAAACATCTGTTCAACTTCTTGTAGTGTTCAAAAAATCCCAACATCCTTGCATGTTGGAGGTCAAACTTTTTGCTTAGCAGATGTAGATGTTTACTATAGCTTTGCAGACTAAAATACACAGAGCCCAAATTATTGTCAGATCTAAAAAACACGTGTTTCCACAACTGCCACACTGTGGCCAATCCTATACTGCAGTTTATAAAAACTGCTACAATACTCAGCACTGTGGAGTTGGAGGACTTTAAAGCATATGCTACAATCCGGCTTTGTTACATGAGAAGACACTGAAGAAAGGTTATGAAGAAGTCCACCAAGGAAGTGCTACTCATACAAGTTTTCAGAACTAGGAAACTGCTGGAGAAACTGAACAACTTCCACCACAAGTTTTACTTTTCTTTTTTTCACAGTTTTACCATTGGCATTTAGATTCAAGTATTTCCTATTTAAGAGAAATAACAAGTGATGCAGTGAATCACTATAAAGGAGACATGGGGAGAGTCTGGATCTTGCAGGACTAACACATTCCTGGGAGACAGGTATGATTATGGCCGAGGACAGCCTATCAATAGCTCGAAGATCATTTGATTAAGTTGAACATGTAGGGCCTTAATAACTCTGATTAGCTGCAGGAGCTGTAAGTTGACTACTTCACTGTGGAAACAGAAAAGCAATTACCTTTTATTTCAGCAGTCCTCTTCCTAAATTCAGGCTTTGGATCAATTTCACCTATCACGAGAACCTTTAAACTACTTTTGAACACAAAAACTTTCCTAGAACTGCCAGAATCTATCAAAGCTGGCAAGCTTAGAAGACCAAGAAACCCGATCTGGAGTTTTCATCATTTCAATAGTTATCAATTTATTTTTATAAAAAAAAAAAAAAAATGGTAGCAATGTAGAATACAGCAATATTTTCTGGTTCCACACACGCAGGTTATGAACATTCCAAGCAACGTGTACATTTTGGAAGGAGACTAGACAAGAGAATTGACCAAAATGTTACTGAACATGGGAAGATTTTTAAAAAAGGTTAAAAATTAGATATCAATAGTGTCTTCTTAATATTGCTTTCATTACTGAAGACTGAAAAAACACTTGACTTTACAGATAGGGTTAAAAAACGGGGACGGGGGGGAAGGCTGCTACAACACTGCCATACAGTCAAAAAAATCATACTTCAATATTTGCATACTTGATAGCAGCATTCTCCCACTGAACCATGTGAAACTACAGGAAGAAAACATCAAAGCAAAAGAAAAAAAATATGGCAGTTATCCATCAGTATTCAAAAACCTAGAATGAAGTCACTAAGTAGATGAACACTTACTGAGAATTAATCAGTATCTACATTCTTAGCTGTTTCCCATTCTGCTCCAATAGAAACGCCAAGTTGAGTGTCAGCTTTGCGTATTTTATTTTTGGCCGATTTGAGTTTTTCCAGTTCATAGTTCACTGCATGCTTGGAATAGAGAGGGTCATTATAAATCCTTCTACACAACGAACTTTAAGTAGACAGCTGAAAATAAAATGTACTACTTGTAAACACACAAAAAAATACAAGCTTTTTTTGTTTCAAGTGAGCACTGGTTCCAGATAGATTATCTTCGGTATCTACCTCTTTCACCTCTGTCTCTGTCCCGGTCACAAATCCTCTCTCTCTCCCTTTCCCGATCACGGCCTCTGTCACGTTCTCTGTCTCTTCTATTATCTCTAGGACGGTCCCGTTCCCGCTCTCGGTCCCTTTCCCGAGGCCTGCTTCTCCGACCACTGACAACTGCTTGTGTGCGGCGAAGAAAGTCGTCTACTCTCATGTCGTAGTCATGCTGTGATGAAAGGACAGCTCTGTTTATTTTTTTCCCCAGACTAAAATCCCCTCCCTTCCCTTATCCATAGGACTGGACGTAACTCTTGGGAAAGCCCAGTATTTAAAAAGAAAAGAAAAGAAAAAAAAAAAGTCCAGCATCCATAAGCACAAGTTTCTTCTTTCATCTTCAGGGCAGCACCATGTCTGTGCTTCCACTGTGCAGAAGCTGGGTTTGAAATGCCAGATACCAGCAAGAGACCTGAAAGCTAAGCAGCCTTCAAAGCCAGCTAACAGAAATTATTTAACAATCTGCCCCATTTTTTGATGTGCCTGTAAAAAGTTATAAAACACAAACTTTTCTGATGATAAAGTAATTTGCTGTGCATGAGTGCAAGCCACGTTACAGGCATGTCCTTATTCAAACTGGGCTTCAGCATGAAAAGTTCAGAGCTAGATAGCTGGAAGCCATTTTAAGCACACACCTCAGTTTAAGAGTATGTTCTGAGAATTTTGCACTTCTACATCACCTGGGAGAGAGAGGCTTTTCAAAGATGCCGGAGTCTCTAGTCAATCTAAATAACTGATCTTTCCAAGGAAAAGTAATACAGGTCTTAAAAATGCAGTTTATCCAAGTCAGCAAATCTCAGGTTAGGCTGCATCTGTACCCCGAATTCCTCCGGTTCCTACTCTGGCCTGCAGACTCGTGTCCCCCTCTGTCTCTGTGGACACTTACTACTCGCTTGTCTCTGTATCTTGCTTCATGTGGTACAGGATGATGTCCTGAGTATGGAGGGTGAGCTTGAGGTGGAGGTGCATGGTGCTGATAGTAAGGGTGGTGTGGTGGCTGCTCCATACCGGGATATGGTGGCTACAAGAAAGTTACAGGAAGTTTGCTGAGTGTTTCAAAACAAAGGAATGCACACAAGGCTGAGTGCTAGGAATTAAGAGCAGAGGTTACTTTCATTCAGATGGAAAACACGACATCTAAATATATCCGATCACAGCCTCCTAACTGAATGGCAGACTATTTTTCATTAAGTCGGCATGCTTTACTACTTCTCTACCATTGCTTCTTTAGAAGTTTGGCCAACACCCTCCCCAAGCTACAAACACGCCTTTTTTCCATATCTGCCTCAAAGTGATACTGTACATAAAACTTCTGCTACTTAAATGTGGTTTGTTTTTTTTTTAAATCTATGCATACGGAATGTGAATTTTGTCCAAACCAGCGAGCTCTTACAGAAACGAGTCTTTTCCAACCTAAACAATTCTATGATTCCTTATGAATATATTCCTATTTTAAATGAACA